CAAAAACATTTCTCATTTGACTTCTGCTCAGAAGCAGTATGCATGGATTATGTTTTGCCTCTGGCGCGCTATGGTAAATGAAAAGTAAAGCGCCATCCGTCAGCTGACTCCATCTGACAGAAAGACCGTTGCATCTGCTCCACAGACCCTTTTTTTTTTTTTCTCGCTTCTTCCCATCATGCTCGCCTGCATCAACCACAACTTATGATTAAAAATAGCCATTTGATTCAATTACCTCTAATGTTTGATTAGGGCACAAATGCCGCAGTCTCCACAAACAGCAGCACAATTAAACTGAAGTGAATTGCAGCAGATCTCTGAGCGAACGCTGGCCACGCCATAAATTTTAAATACTCGACTTGGGGAGCGAAAAGAAGAGAAAGAAAAAAAAAGAAGAAGAAGATTTACAGCAAAATATGGCCTGTCTCTTATTTGTACATAAATTCACAACATCGTTTAGAGTAGCAAACAAGTCTGTCTTGAATGGCTGGTAATTATGTACAGCAGCAAATAAAGCGTGGTTTTCTTTTCTGAGGCGCTGGTGGCTTGTTAAGTGGTGAACAGACAAAACAGCATTTAGAAAATGAAAGGTGGAGGGAAACATCCAGGGCACAGCGAGCTTCTCTCCCATTAGAAACAACACTGTCTGTCTCGCGACCGTTTGTTTGTTCCAACTGGCTGTACTGGAAAGACGTGCCCCGAACCCCCACCACCAACACTAACTACGTCTTTCTTGTTGTTTCTGTCCCCTCTCCCTCCGTCTGTCCATCCAGCCCTTCCTCTGATCTTCCACCATGTCCGTCCCCCATCTCCTAGGCAGCTCCTCTGTTTTGTTTTGGGTTGTTTTTTTGTTTGTTTTTTGCATCTTACCTAATGTTTTGGTCCCTTTTTTTCACTTTATCAGTCCTTCTTTTTTCAACCCGCCCACATCCACTCATTTTCAACCACCAAATCAAAAATAAGGCTAACAAATGTGGCCTATTATCCAGTATTCGGGACACTGACAGTACGTGTCCATGAATGTAGAGCTCCAAATGGCTCAAACATGAGGAATCTAGTTAGAAAAAAAACATGTTCGAATTAGACCAGGGGCACTGCAGACAAGAGGAATCTATTACTGTTATTATATAACAAAAAACTGAGCTGTTATTGCCACTGTGTGCACCATTACAAAGGAAACAATGCATAGGAGCACGTTGTGTGAAACCAATTAAAATCCAACCCTGTCATATACCTTCCTCTCTTTCCAGTCACGTTGTGAATATGCCATTTTTACACCATTCATAACGGCGCACCTGTGTCCACTGCGTTAGATCTCCGCCTCTTTCAGTATCCTTCTCAAATTTTCCAGCATCGCATCTCACTATCTGTTTCAAGAATCCCACGAGCTGAAAATACAAGGGGGCCCGGGAGAGTGTGTGAGAGCAGAACAGGGGAAATTTCACATTATCTGTCTATCTGCAATATAAGAGTGTGATGTGGAAGCAGGAAATGAGCTATGAACGTCAAGCCTGCATGCTCATGGTCCCAGTGGCCACCAGCCTACATATTGAGATCAAGTAGGCAATGTGGAAAGTGGTTTAATAGACCCCAGTTTAATTGGACTTTTATTTGTTAATGGCTGAAATCCTGATGCATTACTTTAATTATCTTGGCAGAACTAATTCATGAACACGTAGGAAAAGAAAAAAATGTGGCCGGACTTAGCATTTAAATGGCATCCAAACGCTCCCTCCCTCCCTCCCTCGCTCTCTCGCTTTCTTTTTAAAGCTCCTATCCTCAAAGTACTCTGCTTTTGCTTTCCATGGGATTCTCTCTGATACGACTTGTAAGGCATGTGATGGTTTAAACCCTCAGTGTGCTTTAACCAGCCAGCTGTCATGAATGAGTCCACAGAAAGAGGAGAGGAGAGCACTGAGGCCATTTTTCTCATCTTTTTTAAAAGCGCTGGGGCCCACCCAGATCCTATACGTGAGCATGGCCGTGTTTGCTCTGCCCTCCGAGTGCAGAGTAGGTTTGGCTGCTGCCATGGAAGGGAAAGAGGAGGGGAGGGGTGGGCTCACTTCTACACTTACTAAGCCCACTCACACATGAACTGCTCCGTCAATGCTGAAGAGCAGCCAATGAAAAGGTGAGTTCCTTAATGTCTTTCTGATTGCGTCGTTTCTAGTTCATTACATGACGGCACTGTAATAGTTTTCGCCTCACACTGACACTTGAGTTCTTTAAAACGGGGCGTTCTTTAAAGCAGTTTAGCACAGTTTGACTTTCAGCTACAGGGGAAAATGTTTCCCTCTCTCAGCCAGTGCATGTGTACAGTATTTGTGCATTTCATGGTGTGTTTGTGTGCGTGCTGCAGATTGCATTGGAGTATGTTTACGTCTGTGCGCACGCAAGTAGTATGCGAAAACAAATGTGCGTGTCTTCCCTGGAACAGCTCCTGTCTGGGTGGGGGGGGGAGCGGAGCTGGCGGTGAAAGAGCTCAGCAGCGCCTCAGTCCCTCAGGACAGACTGCAGCTCTCTCCTCGCGGCCATGAAAAGCAATCAGAGCTCAGCTTTCTCTCCTGGACTTACCTCTGCCTTTAATTACAGAACTCTGCAGCAGCAGCAGCACAGAGAAAGACTGCCTCCGCTGGGCCACAGCCAGCCCGTCACAACCCCAGCACAGGGCTGCGGTCGAGACAGCAGGCCTCAGCATACAGTGGCCTGACATAAGCACAGTGTGCTTAAACATGCAGTCGGCCCCGGTGAGCTCAGCGTGCTTCTGCACAGACCGAGACTCGGCTAAGGTGCTTCTATACTGAAAACCACAGCGCTCCAAGCATAAAACACAGCAGGGCTCCATACGAGCTAGGAATGGCCTTTCTGTATGCCTAATGAGATGTTCTCACCTGTGCTCTAGCAGGATAATGCAACATAAGCGACTGGGGAATTACGGAAAAATGATCAATAACACAAATAAATGTTTTCTGCTCGGTACACACATGCACACACTGTCAACCAGAAGCAAGACCCTGAGATATGAAGAATGCGAGCACTTGTAGGGAAAAGGATTACTGATGAGGAGCCATTCATTGTGTGTAATTGAGATTCTTTCCCATTCAAGAGACATGAGAGTAGAGGCCCAACATGTGCCTTTAGGCTGAGCAGAGGAGAAGCCACGGTGCACACATGGACAGGGGAAGATAAGAGACTATGTACACAAGCTGCTGGTTTTATTGCTGCAACATAACGCTCGGATAGCATTTTAAACACATTTTCAGAAAACCTGCCAGTGCCGTCCTCGCTGCCGTGGAACCATGCCACGGTGCTGAAATGTGTCATTGGGCTCAATTTCTCACCCAATTTCAACCGAACGGAAAATGGCACTTTGGTGACAGCAATGAGGCTGACCAGAAGGAGATGTGAGTGGCAAATGCCGTAAAAGACGAATCTCCACGGCGCACTCGGTGGCACGCCGCCGAACTAAGGCACGGCTGTTATGATAGCTATCATCATTTCCGTATCTATGATCCTCAAACAAGGCCCTCTCCCCCTCCACACGTCACATAGCCTCGGGTCCAATGGCGCACTGTGCCGTCACACGTGATAATGACACCCACATCAACGTGTCAACTCAATTTGGCCCTCTTATAGGCTCTCTTTGACTCAATCAATGCATGGCCTTCCATCTGGGTTCCACTCCTGTCCTCACATTAGAGGAGTGGGGATGGACAGACATTTTACTAACTGCTCACTAAACCTGCCCCCACTCCCCACCCTTGGACATCTGCAGTTTAACATCACATATTACATATTTTCCTTAACCTAATAATCCTACAGTGTTCTCAGAACGTGCAGCAAAGTCAAAAGCACCCTGTCAAGTAGGCTACAAAGGCTTCAAACACAAATCAAAAACCAAGTCATGTCGGGTCAATAACTGTGAGCTGAACAGATCATTAACTGTGGCGATAAATTTGCCAAGTTTTTCTTCTTCTTCTTCTTCTTCTTTTTTAATTTGAAAATCCCATCTTACAAGGCATTCCAATAAATATCAGGCAGGCACATTTCTAGCTCGTTAAAATTTAATCCAATTAAATCCCTATTTAAAACAAAGTTACACCTCCACAACAACCAAGCACAGAGGCTGTTATCTTGGGCTGCAGCTCATTATTTCTCAGAGCAGCTCGTCTGGCTGACAGTGTGGTAGACTGGGACATCCAGTAAACATCTGTCATGAAGCATCCTTACAGGGGAGCACAGACACAGTAAGCTACTGATCCAGTGACCCCACAGTGCAGGCATTCACACATGCCTTGGTGCACCTGCGTGTGAGCCTCTGCTATCGTCATGTTTAGGCCAATTTTAAGGATTTGTGCTTATAAACCGTTTATGAATCATTTATTCGCCATCACAGTGGAGGGGCCTAGAGAGATGATGTGTTATCCCATTAGGTTTCAATAGCTCATTCATGAATCATTCATCAGTTTGGACTATAGATTATTCCCCCTTTATTCATTTCTTATTCATTTTGGGCCAGTGTACTGCTCGGGATGCATTACGTTGCTTCAAAATGACGTCCACAGGCCAGTGTTTGCCTTCAAAACATGCAAACAGTGCAAGGTAACTGGCATCAACGCGAACAACCACACGTGGCATCTGTATTTGGATTGAATTTGTGAGCCTTAAGCGAATAGATCGGAGCTTGTGCTTTAAGTAAGTGGGGGTATTTTTTTTCGCAGGGAGAAGGTAATCGATGGAGCAGAGACGAATGAATGTAGGCTACGACAGCTGTCCCAAGGAGGTAGGGCTGCTACTACACCGCATGCATGGTGTGAGTTCCCCCTTTGAATAAAATGTCCGATCAGACCAAATCAAGAAGGCAGGGATATAAATCAGTGTGTGTGTGTGTGTGTATGTGTATAAATCAGGCTGTCCTGTGCATACCAAATAGAGCTCGCTCTCTATTCAAATACACACGGCACGCTGAATAGCAGCATAATAGCGTTTTCTCTGCCTACCTCCAGAGCGTGTGCGCCCAAACTGCGTTTTTTCCCCCGTCGCAATGGGATCCTTCTCAGCTGCCCTGGACAGTATCAGAGATGCGTCTTTCCCCCGAAAGGCAAACACTTCCCCAGCATGTCCCCCAACCCTCCCTCCCCTGCCGCCACCACCAGCACCACCACCACCAGCAGCAGCAGCAGCCCGGGCCTCCAGTAATAGCAGGTGGACGCGCCTCTCAATGATGGAGACAGCGCGACTCTCCTCTCCCCCGCCGCTCCATTTTCAATTACGGAAGAATTCGTATTCCAGGAAACGCGCTATAGGGCAGCCAGCATGTCCTAATATCGCCGCTTTTCTCGGGACCAACAGGGGCCGTCGCCTCTCAAACTCCCGATTCGTGGCGCCCCCTCGCCTGTTATCTACCTTTTACGAGATGCTTGATGTTGCCATTGTCACGGTGTATTTTTTTTTCGCCTTCCTTTTTTTTCTTTTTTTTTTTTTCAGCTGAACCTCTACCCCTCCTTGCGACGCGCAGTCTCGTAGGCGCGCACTTTACTTGCTCCCCCTCCGATTCTTCTTGGTCCGACCTATGAGCGCGCACAGCCAGCCGACGCAGGGCCACGCACTGCTTTGACGGACGCGCTGAGCAAATCAGGTATAGCCCACTCCAAATAGGACTGTATCATAACAGGGCAACTGCAATGACATGAATAATGAATAGGCTACTCATGTTTGCTGTGCTGTGTGATAGGCCCACTCACAATGCGTACCGGACTGGAAGCGATATTTGGGGAGACTTGAGCGTCTCTCTCTCTCTCTCTCTCTCTCTCTCTCTATCTGTCTCGCTCTCTCAGTATGAATTTGATTAGCAAAACTCAATAAACCATTACTTTAAAAAAACGTGTTTTGCATGTACATGATTATTTTTGTGTTATTAACGTCTATTCAAGAGGGGACAATGTTTTTTGAGTATTTTTATGGATTTAAGATCATATGTTAGAGTAATTTTGTCATCGGGTGGACAGGTGGATGTAAAACAAAAAAAATCCTATATATGTGTGTGTGTGTGTGTGTGTGTGTGTGTGTGTGTGTGTGTGTGTGTGTGTGTGTGTGTGTATAAGGTATAATCATTAGGCTAGATGTCACTGTCCAATTTTCAGCTTATGTTCACAAATAAATGTTTTATTTAATTATTTCCCTGAATACTGATCGATTGTCAAACTGAAAACATAAAATGTTATTTTAAAAAGTGGCAACAGCCTGATTTCATTTTTCAGAGGCCAAAGTGCATCCTTCACATGTGACAGGGTAGACAGGCATCATTAACTCACCACATTTGTAAGTGGCACTGATTTGGGAGTGGTTTTCTGCGTGTCTTACACAGTTGTATTTGATTGCGTTTTTACTGTAGTCTACTTCTGCTCCACACTGTCACTTTTTTTCTTTTGGTAAGGGACCTGTTTAGTGCATGTGTGTTACACCGTCCAGGCTTAGATTATTATTAGAAATCAACACTTCCATAATAGATATTTCTTTTGAGGGTCTGTGAGCTGCACAGTTAAGATCCACCTAAACACTTGTTCACATTTTCTCATTCCTGTGTTTCTTTGTGCAGGCCAGGGCGTACAACATGCTTCAGGCTGAAGGCGGGTGATTGCACAGGGTGGAAGATGTAGGAGGATGACTGCCAAACCCTATGCAAGTTGTCAGCATGCTAAATAGGTTAGATGACCCACAGTACTGCTGACTCTAGTCTTGGACTTTGGGTTCTGACAGTTTTACAGGTGGGACAAAGGACTCACGCTCCCCCGCTTTAACTTTATATTCAGTTGTATACTGCAGACAGACCTGTTGAATCTTCGATTGTAGTGTTTGCCTAATAAAATAGAATAAAATTCTCCCTGGAGGTGGTCTTTTTGTACATAGCAGTGACTGTCGGTCAGATCTAGAATCTGTGTGTTTCACATCCGCCTCTCTAAAATTAGAGTTTGCTATTGCTAATGACAAAGACTTCCATCAGATGTGCACAACAAGGAAAGGCAGCAAAAAGCAAATGTTCAACATTTTTGCACAACGGACTGAAACATGAAATGTCAGCTGTCAGTTTGTAAAACAGTTAGTCATTAAATTAATTGGTTGGTATGATGACAATTATGGTTTCATACTGTTTAATGAATAACAAATACTAAAAATTTCTTCTTTCAACCCCTGAAATATGATGATTTGACGATAGTCTGAAAAATAAAGGGTCTGATTTCGAGAACTTCTGGTGGATATTTTTATTTGTTTTATAATATTTTACAAACAAAACATCTCCGATTGATTCATTTTTCACTTGCTTAAAGATGTCTTTCCCATCGTATTTAACATGGTTAAACTTGAATAATCAGGTTATAACTAAAAGGTATTCTGTCAGCCAAATAAAGCGATTACTGTTTATCTAAACTGGGTCACAGTTTTACATACAGTTGATTATTATGGACATTTGTTTTTGGTCTATATCTTTTCACTTGTTTCAGCTACTCTACTAAGTCCTGATGTACTAAACAGAGGACGTCCTGGCCTTTCCAAAGATATCTCACATGCTTGGGTGTCCTCTTTTAGCTCCAAAGAGGAAGGAAATTACAAAACAGTTAAACTGAAAAATGTTTTTTCTTCAGTTCTCAGGAGGTTGTTGTATTCAGTCTATAGCTATTTGTTGCCTATATATAGTCATCATGGCCATGAATGTCATGGTCATTTTGGAATTTTAATGATTTCTTTGAACTGTTCTTTTTACAGAGTGTTAGGTATGGCTGTGTGCAGGCAGGAATAGGACCCAAGGTGCAGACTCCGGAGACAGATGTGAACTCAAAAAAGGCTTTAATTTAATACTCAAAATATAACAAAACTAAAAAACTCAAAACAAACTTAACCTGGAGAAATGACAGAACACACAGCTAGGAAAACGGTAGATCGCGACACGGACACAGAGAAACACAGGGCTTAAATACACAGAGGGAGCAATCAGGGAATGAGTAACAGGAGGGAAACACAGCTGGGACAAATTAGAACTGATGAGACCAAAGAAGTGTAAACTGAACACACTGAGATAAGACAGAGACCTTTAAAGTAAAACAGGAAGCACATAACACAGACTGAACAAAGACGCAGACTCACATGCAGGCACTACAAAGGGAACAGAGACGTGGGACCAGGGCAGACACAAACACTGACTGGACACGGGGATATAGGAACTAAGGATACACATAGACGCGAGCTAGACAAGGGGATGCAGGTGATAGGGGAGACAGAGCAACTAAAGAAGACAGAGACATAAACCATAAGACAGAACTCAAAGAAACCAAAAACTAGAAAGTATAAATAATATCATAAACTCAAACACAGAGTGGAATAATTGTAGAGCGTATATCATTAATAACTTTAACCAACATGAATTGGGCGCACAAGACTTTTAATATATTTGAAATTTTCTCTCATCCATCTAATCCATAGTCCATACGTTCACCCCCCACTAATGTTTGATTAAATGTCCCTTAGCAAGTTTTACCTGAACCACACACTTTTAGAATCCATCAACAAGCTTCCGGCGTAATTCTGACAGGAAATTTGACGACTCTCCTTGGTAGAATTTGTAGAGTTCATTTAAATCGGTTACTTTCCTGGCTCACACCCAGCTTTTAAGCATAGTCCACAAATTCTAAATAGGGCTGAGGTCAAGGTTTTGGGAGGGTCATTCCAGAAGCTAATTGTTAGCCTGCTTTATCCACTCCAAAACCAGCTTTAATTCATTTTGGATCATTTTCCTGTCTGACATTTAGTGCAGTCTTCTTAGATTTTAAAGCCACGTCAACCTTTCATATACAGGCTATAAACACTGTTTTTTTGTTTGTTTTTTTCAAATAAGCATAAGAATACATAGTATTCAACTTACAATCTCCAAAGAAATTTCAGTTCCAGCGGTATGTCTCAGTTTTTCCGTGTCAGTCTGCTGTCATTACAAAGAAATGCTACTGTCATAACTCAACAGATCATGCTAGCATAGCACTCAACAAGCTAACTTGGTTGTGGAATGGCAGGCTTTGGATAATCATCTTTACATTTGGAGAAGATGAAATCTGTATCCATATTAAACAAGACGCAACACTGCTGTTTAGGTTGTTATTAAAAATTACACCCTGATAGCTTAGATTTAAATGCTGATTCTTGTCCTATGGCACGATGTCTGTCTGCAAACAGCTGTACACTAAACAGTTTATTTCCTCTTGTGTGATCAATTTGTAATGTCTCCAATATAATTCGTCCAGTCACGTTATTACTGAAGTCACACACAAGGACAGATTGGTATTCTTTAATATTTGATATTACTCTTAGATCCATCCTCATAACCATGTCTATCTATAACCCTTTGAAACGCGTTCAAAGAGAGCGCACACAAACACACACGCTGCAAATTACCTTTGAAATAGATAGCATTTATTTGATTACCTATGTTTTCACTGTAGAAGTAAAGTACAAGCGCTGATGATCTCCATAGTGACTCCATAGTAACAGAAATTATATCCATACTTCTTAAAATACCTTTTCAACTGCATACATCAGTACAGATGTGTTTTAAGAAAGAGACAAATTAACTTACAGCTTCTCTCAGTGCAGTAAGTTATTAAGTAAACTCAAAGCTGCCAGGAGAGAAACGTTTTCATTCCTCTATAATTAGAGTTTCTTTGTGTCTTTACAGTAAACAGAGGTAATAAATACTGCCATAGTGGAATTAATGTGAAAAATGTGCTCAGCTGTAAAGACTCATGTTGAAACTTACATTTTGCTCGTACAGCTAACAAATACACCTGAAAACAGCTGTATTAGGTTGGTGGTCAACTGCTCATTAACATAGATTTCTAATCAGCCAATCACATTGAAGCAACTCAGAGCATTTACACATGTAGACATCAACAAGATGACCTGCTGAAGTTTAAAGGTAGCATCAGAATTGGGAGGAAAGGAGATTTAAGTGACTTTGAACATGGCATTGTTGTTGGTATGAGATGGGCTGGTTCGAGTATTTCAGAACCTGATGATCTACTTTGATTTTCCCACATAACCATCTCTAGGGTTTGTAGAGAAAAGAGAAAACATCCAGTCCTGTGGGCAAAGAGGCTGCCAGA